CAGGGATGGTGGATGCTAGCCTCACTCAGAGCATTATTTGGTGTCATCATTCGTATTCTTACTTGGTGGACTAAGCCTATCATACAATAACATAAGGCACCTCAATTTATTTACTAAAATATGTAGTTTAATACTGTAGTTTGACTGCATATATATATATATATATATATATATATATATATATATATATATATATATATATATATATATATATATATATATATATATGTCGTACCTAGTAGCCAGAACGCACTTTTTGGCCTACTATGCAAGGCCCGATTTGCCTAGTAAGCCAAGTTTTCCTGAATTAATATATTTTCTCTAATTTTTTTCTTATGAAATGATAAAGCTACCCATTTCATTATGTATGAGATCATTTTTTTTTTATTGGAGTTAAAATTAACGTAGATATATGACCGAACCTAACCAACCCTACCTAACCTAACCTAACCTATCTTTATAGGTTAGGTTTGGTTAGGTAGTCGAAAAAGTTAGGTTAGGTTAGGTTAGGTAGGTTAGGTAGTCGAAAAACAATTAATTCATGAAAACTTGGCTTATTAGGCAAATCGGGCCTTGCATAGTAGGCTGAGAAGTGCGTTCTGGCTACTAGGTACGACATATATATATATATATATATATATATATATATATATATATATATATATATATATATATATATATATATATATATATATATATATATATATTTACTATTAAACTACATATATTATTTACTAATATATGTAGTTTTATACTGTAGTTTGACTGTGTGTATATATATATATATATATATATATATATATATATATATATATATATATATATATTATACCCCCCCCCTAATGTGCATGGAATCGAGTTGTAAGAATATTGCAGAAATACAGTCCGCTAAACATCATACAAATTGCTATCAAAATATATAAACTAACGTAAATATAAATTCTATATAAATTCATATGAATTAAATAAATATAAATCTCACAGGTCGGTTCCCACATTATATGATCCTTCCTTACATCCTTCAAATTGGATAGCACAGAACCGGTTCGAATCCCCCAAATTATATGATCATTCGAACCTAGATGGTCTAGAGAGCTAGGTTATCATCACATTAAATAAATTAGTGAACAAATATTGCCAGTCACAGCCAGTGACCGGCAGCTTAGCCTCGAGCGAGCTCAAGAACCCCTCAGCCTCAGTCTCAGTCTCAGTCTCAGCCTCAGCCTCAGTCTCAGTCTCAGCCTCAGCCTCAGTCTCAGTCTCAGTCTCAGCCTCAGCCTCAGCCTCAGCCTCATCAGCGGTTACATGGTCACCCACCAATTTCAAGGAGTTTTATTTCGTTAAGTGACAGCGCTGATTTTAAAGCCAGCCAAATTAGTGGCTGTGCCCTCGCAAGATTATCCACGAATTTGTGGTGTTAATTGCGCGAGGTTACTAATAAGATTTAATACTTCTAAATAATACTAGAGGCTAATTAAGAGGCTATCATCAATAATTCTGTATGTTATTTCTCTTAAATAGAGAATTATTTCAACAATTTCAAAGAATTTATTAATTTCAACACAAGAAAGAACACGAAACAATGGGTATAATATTTTGTAAGTTAAAGGGAAGAATGGAAGTAACTACAAAGGGCCTATTGGCCCTTATTTCTTGATGCTTCTATATTGGTGCGGAGTCTTGAAGTGCGTAGAATATAGTTGTGCATTAATTGGCTGTTGATTACTGGTGTCGACTTCTTAATGTGTAGTGCCTCGCAGATATCTAGCCGCCTGCTATCTCTGTATCTATCGCTGATTTCCGTGTTTTTGTTAAGACTTCTCTGGTTGTGGGAAGAGATTATATGTTCCTTAATAGAGCCCTGTTGCTTATGCATCGTTAATCGCCTGGAAAGAGATGTTGTTGTCTTGCCTATATACTGAATTCTTTGAGGCTTACAGTCCCCAAGTGGGCATTTGAAGGCATAGACGACATTGGTCTCTTTTAAAGCGTTCTGTTTTGTGTCTGGAGAGTTTCTCATGAGTAGGCTGGCCGTTTTCTTGGTTTTATAGTAGATCGTCAATTGTATCTTCTGATTTTTGTCTGTAGGGATAACATTTCTATTAACAATATCTTTCAGGACCCTTTCCTCCGTTTTATGAGCTGTGGAAAAGTAGTTCCTGTAAAATAGTCTAATAGGGGGTATAGGTGTTGTGTTAGTTGTCTCTTCAGAGGTTGCATGGCGTGTCACTTTCCTTCTTATGATGTCTTCAATGAAACCATTGGAGAAGCCGTTGTTGACTAGGACCTGCCTTACCCTACAGAGTTCTTCATCGACTTGCTTCCATCCTGAGCTGTGGCTAAGAGCACGGTCGACATAAGGATCCCCATGTTGGGGATCCCCTCCCATGTTGGAATATGTGGGAATGAACGAGCAGATGTGCTGGCTGCTGAAGGCGCTGAAGGAGATCACATTGAATACTTCATACCCAAGACTCTACTACAAATTAGAGGTATTGTCAGGCAACATCACTGTGACAAGGTAACTGAGGAAAGGAGGATAGAAGCACAAACCAGTGAATCTGTACGATGGTACAACATGGTTGCAGCTGACAATCCCAATCATTATGGCCGAAGAGGAGGAGGACGAGGGAGAGAATCAGTAATAGCGAGAATCCGTCTTGGATACAAATATCCATGGAGATATGGAATGGAAACAACAGTTGATCAGCGAAGTTGCAGAATCTGTGGTGAGAGTGATGGACACCGCCTTGAACACTATCTACGTGAATGTGAACACCTGAGAGACATTAGGAATATGTGTAGAATAATAAACCCCACATTGTTTGAGTTAGGAAAACACTATTTGTCAAATATTGATACTGTTCTTAAAAGATTTCCCCATTTTGCACCTGCAAGATAACGTAAGCTTTTAAGGGTTGATAGATGTTAATCTTCTTGTTTGAGGAGCTGTTCACTTGAGACAGTTAAGCAAGTCCCAGCTGTGTCTGGGTACAAGTGACAGGATGAACAACCCAGCGGGTTTTCTTCCTATTGGGGAGTGTTGTACATGCTGCTATGGCGGTGTGTTCACTCACAGGATGAGTGGCGCTGCCCAATACTGTCACTATGGCGGTGTGTCCACTCACAGGATGAGTGGCGCTGCCCAATACTGTCACTATGGCGGTATGTCCACTCACAGGATGAGTGGCGCTGCCCAATACTGTCACTATGGCGGTGTGTCCACTCACAGGATGAGTGGCGCTGCCCAATACTGTCACTATGGCGGTGTGTCCACCCACAGGATGAGTGGCGCTGCCCAATACTGTCACTATGGCGGTGTGTCCACTCACAGGATGAGTGGCGCTGCCCAATACTGTCACTATGGCGGTGTGTCCACTCACAGGATGAGTGACGCTGCCCAATACTGTCACTATGGCGGTGTGTCCACCCACAGGATGAGTGGCGCTGCCCAATACTGTCACTATGGCGGTGTGTCCACTCACAGGATGAGTGGCGCTGCCCAATAAACTCGCCCCTCGGGGCAAAATATAAATTTAAAAAAATGTACCCACTACCCACTGCCCACTACCCACTGCCCATACCCGCCCATTGTACTCACCGCACAGGGCACCTCAAGGCACCCATGACGGCCACATGTGATTGGTCCAAACCACAACAATAAATCAAACTGCAGAATGCATTTTGGTCCATAAGTGGCAGTTGCTCCTGTTTACATCTTCCCACACTCATTCATATACATGTCCAACCATCGCTTCGAAACAGTGATTCAGCGCGCGCATTATGCGACCCAAACAAGCAGTCCGTCCTCCAAACAAAGACCCAAAAGTGACTCCATCCACCCACCAAACCCCCTGTTTATGAATGAAAAACGGTTTACACACGACTCACAACTGCTGACGTTCGAACACTTCCGGAACAAGTGCTTCACTGACGAATTTTTTTCGAACCACAACGCTGTAAACAGCCCGTCCTCCAAACAAAGATCCAAAAGTGATTCCATCCACCCGCCAAACCCCCTGTTTATGAATGAAAAACGGTTTACACACGACTCACAACTGCTGACGTTCGAACATATCCGGAACAAGTGCTTCACTAACGAATATTGTTCGAATCACAACGCTGTAAATGCTTCACCCACGTACTACAAATACAAATAATCGCCCACAGAACCTAAACACCTATCCTGACCTAACCTAAGTCTATATATATGCACAATATGCTAATTTATTATAATATTAATTTATATTTGAGAAAAATTCCTATTTTGAATGAACAGCATGTAAAAATTTATGAATGCATCTGTGGGGTCGACCGCTGGATGGAATGGACTTGAGTCGAGGACGGGTTGAAACAAGGTCATTCTGGATGCCTTCATCCAAGAAGAAGACGATCACAGGACACAGGCACATGGCCCCACGACACACAATGTGTCACACAACATCCTGGAGGAGCGACAGGACACAAGACACATGGCCCCACGACACACAATGTGTCACACAACATCCTGGAGAAGCGACAGGACACAGACACATGGCCCCACGACACAATGTGTCACACAACATCCTGGAGGAGCGACAGGACACAGGCACATGGCCCCACGACACAATGTGTCACACAACATCCTGGAGGAGTGACAGGACACAGACACATGGCCCCACGACACACAATGTGTCACACAACATCCTGGAGAAGCGACAGGACACAGACACATGGCCCCACGACACAATGTGTCACACAACATCCTGGGGGAGCGACAGGACACAGACACATGGCCCCACGACACAATGTGTCATACAACATCCTGGAGGAGTGCTCTTGACCCCGACCAGCTAGACACATCCCGCCCCGAGGGCCGGGCGGCGAGCAAGTCATGGTGAACTATTCTTAACCTGTTCTTTAACACAGTGTTCCTGCCGCTCATCCCCACAATGACATAACGTTATCCAACACCTCACTCAATATGACGGCCACAATGTTCCTCTAATGCCCGGACTGACCTTCCAAGGGTGGGAATGATCTTCATCTTCTTGCGCATCTACTAGCTCATCTACCACATCTACTAGTGCGTCTACTACATCTATTAGTGCGTCTATTACATCTACTAGTACATCTACTACATTAACTACATCTACTAACATATCTACATATACTAGCACATCTACACCACCTACTAGTGCATCTACTACATCTACTAGCATATCTACTACATCTGTTAGCGCATCTACTACATCTACTTGCACAATAGCACAAATATCTAATGAAGATCTCATCGACCTAACAAATTCACAAAGACCTGAAAGTTGTAGCATTAAATATTATGATAGATACCGTGAGGAGACATTCACATATGGGACTAATAGAACAAGAACCCGGCAATGTGATGTTATAGTGGCCAGAATACGCCTGGGATATAGACGTATCTGGCAGCTTTCTCAAAACCCAAATGTCGAGTACACAATGTGTCAACTTTGTGAAAGAGAAAACATGCACTCTCTTGAACATTATATTGTGGAATGTCCCATACTGACTGACTTTCGCCCTCCTGGGCTAAGGTATGCTGAACTCTGTAACTACTATATGAGTACTGGAACACTTGATGATATATTGGACTTGTATCCAAGATTAACCATGTAATATATCAATTATACAATGTATGTATGTGATGTAAGTATATAACCTGAGCTTGTAAAAGCAACTTAATCGCCTTCAGTGATTAAGTGCTTAATTGCACACTAGTTTCTCTATTAGTTATCTCACCTTGTCAGAGTAAGAGAGACAAATGTATGTGTTTGCATGTGTGTGTATATATATATATATATATATATATATATATATATATATATATATATATATATATATATATATATATATATATATATATATATATATATATATATATATATATATATTAGTATATTTTGGTACCAGTCTTTCCTGTAGACATATATTATTAAATATGACCGAAAAAGTAAGATTAATAATTCTAACACGAATTTTCTCAATCTTTCGTACATTACGCTTCACTGTTGGAGGTAAATAAAAAATCACTTCTCCAAAATTCATTTTTATTTCTAGTCTGACGCGACACGGGCGCGTTTCGTAAAACTTATTACATTTTCAAAGACTTCACAAATACACAACTGATTAGAACGTATCTCTGATTTTATATCTACATTTGAGTGAGGTGGGAAGGGTGATGTGGCATTAACACAAGACAGAACAGGAGGGGATATTAATAGGGTATTAAAAGTATCAACACAAGACAGAACAGAAACAATGGGTATTGAATAGAAGTGTTTGTACAAAGCCTATTGGTCCATATTTCTTGATGCTTCTATATTGGAGCGGAGTCTTGAGGTGGGTAGAATATAGTTGTGCAATAATTGGCTGTTGATTGCTGGTGTTGACTTCTTGATGTGTAGTGCCTCGCAAACGTCAAGCCGCCTGCTATCGCTGTATCTATCGATGATTTCTGTGTTGTTTACTAGGATTTCTCTGGCGATGGTTTGGTTATGGGAAGAGATTATATGTTCCTTAATGGAGCCCTGTTGCTTATGCATCGTTAAACGCCTAGAAAGAGATGTTGTTGTCTTGCCTATATACTGGGTTTTTTGGAGCTTACAGTCCCCAAGTGGGCATTTGAAGGCATAGACGACATTAGTCTCTTTTAAAGCGTTCTGTTTTGTGTCTGGAGAGTTTCTCATGAGTAGGCTGGCCGTTTTTCTGGTTTTATAGTAAATCGTCAGTTGTATCCTCTGATTTTTGTCTGTAGGGATAACGTTTCTATTAACAATATCTTTCAGGACCCTTTCCTCCGTTTTATGAGCTGTGGAAAAGAAGTTCCTGTAAAATAGTCTAATAGGGGGTATAGGTGTTGTGTTAGTTGTCTCTTCAGAGGTTGCATGGCTTTTCACTTTCCTTCTTATGATGTCTTCGATGAAACCATTGGAGAAGCCGTTATTGACTAGGACCTGCCTTACCCTACAGAGTTCTTCGTCGACTTGCTTCCATTCTGAGCTGTGGCTGAGAGCACGGTCGACGTATGCGTTAACAACACTCCTCTTGTACCTGTCAGGGCAGTCGCTGTTGGCATTTAGGCACATTCCTATGTTTGTTTCCTTAGTGTAGACTGCAGTGTGGAAACCTCCGCCCTTTTCCATGACTGTTACATCTAGAAAAGGCAGCTTCCCATCCTTTTCCGTCTCGTAAGTGAAACGCAGCACGGAACTCTGCTCAAATGCCTCCTTCAGCTTCTGCAGATGTCTGACATCAGGTACCTGTGTAAAAATGTCGTCAACATACCTGCAGTATATGGCCGGTTTCAAGTTCATGTCGACTAAGACTTTTTGCTCGATGGTACCCATGTAGAAGTTTGCAAACAGGACACCTAGGGGAGAACCCATGGCGACCCCATCTACTTGCTTATACAGAACGCTTTAAAAGAGACTAATGTCGTCTATGCCTTCAAATGCCCACTTGGGGACTGTAAGCTCCAAAAAACCCAGTATATAGGCAAGACAACAACATCTCTTTCTAGGCGTTTAACGATGCATAAGCAACAGGGCTCCATTAAGGAACATATAATCTCTTCCCATAACCAAACCATCGCCAGAGAAATCCTAGTAAACAACACAGAAATCATCGATAGATACAGCGATAGCAGGCGGCTTGACGTTTGCGAGGCACTACACATCAAGAAGTCAACACCAGCAATCAACAGCCAATTATTGCACAACTATATTCTACCCACCTCAAGACTCCGCTCCAGTATAGAAGCATCAAGAAATATGGACCAATAGGCTTTCTACAAACACTTCTATTCAATACCCATTGTTTCTGTTCTGTCTTGTGTTGATACTTTTAATACCCTATTAATATCCCCTCCTGTTCTGTCTTGTGTTAATGCCACATCACCCTTCCCACCTCACTCAAATGTAGATATAAAATCAGAGATACGTTCTAATCAGTTGTGTATTTGTGAAGTCTTTGAAAATGTAATAAGTTTTACGAAACGCGCCCGTGTCGCGTCAGACTAGAAATAAAAATGAATTTTGGAGAAGTGATTTTTGATTTACCTCCAACAGTGAAGCGTAATGTACGAAAGATTGAGAAAATTCGTGTTAGAATTATTAATCTTACTTTTTCGGTCATATTTAATAATATATATATATATATATATATATATATATATATATATATATATATATATATATATATATATATATATATATATGTACGTATATGTGTGTGTGTGTGTGTATGTATGTGTATAAAGTATATATGGAAGCTGATCAGAATTCCATTTCACATTTGTAAATGCACATTAATGACACTATGTAAAAGACACATCTAACACTTTATGTAGGGCATACGTAAATCTGTGTATCTATGTATTTACGTATGTAGGTTAGCTTAGCATTTTAAAAGCACTACAATCACCTTCTGTGGTTGAGTGTTCAATAAACCCCTGAACTGTATGTTTAACACATCTCTAACCCTGTCCATGGAGGACAGAAGAAAATGTATATATGCTGGTTAGCATTGTAAATGTCTGGCCACGTCTGTGGTAGAAAATAATAATAATAAAAAAATACTAAAATAAATAGAAAACTAGCACACCTACTAGCGTTAGTGTCATCTTATAAGAATATTTGTCCAGTTCATAAACGTACTAGTGGGAGGTGGGGGGGGGGCCGTGTAGGCCTATATAAGGCCTGTGAAGTAGGCTGCCTCTGGGGAAGATAATGTAACTCCTTTTGTCTGGGGGGGAGGGAGGGCTGGTCAGGCCTCTGGCTCTAACTGACTCTATCTGGCTCCTGGCCGGCCAGTCCTTACCGCATCTGGGGCCAGATTCACGAAGCAGTTACGCGAGTACCTACGACCGTGTACATCTTTCCTCAATCTTTGACGGCTTTGGTTACATTTATTAAACAGTTTACAAGCATGAAAACTTGCCAATCAACTCTTGTTATTGTTATAAACAGCCTCCTGGTGCTTCGGAGCTCATTAACTGTTTAATAATTGTAAACAAAGCTGCGAAAGATTTAGTAAAAATGTACAGGTTCGTAAGTGCTTGCGTAACTGCTTCGTGAATCTGGCCCCTGGCTCGGCCGCCCGGCCCCTTGACGCTGCCGTCAGGCATGGTAAGTGGTGGCGCAGTGGTAACACACTCGACCCGCGATTAATGTGTCTAGGGGTCGAATCCTAGCCGTGGAGGATGAACTGGGCGTCAGGCCTTCATCTTATGCCTATGTTCACCCAACAGTGGTTGGGTACCTGGTTGTAAACCCTCTGGCGGGTCGTGTTCCAGGAACACTAATAGGGTAAGGCTTACCCTGAGCTATGGGAAGGGAAAGCTCTCAGCCAGCTAACAGGAGTCAGCAGTCGTCTGCTCCTGTACCCTCCTGTGTAACACTAGCAGGGTAAGTCTTACCCTCAGCTATGGGAAGGAAAAGCTCTCAGCCAGCTAACAGGAGTCAGCAGTCGTCTGCTCCTGTACCCTCCTGTGTAACACTAGCAGGGTAAGGCTTACCCTGAGCTATGGGAAGGGAAAGCTCTCAGCCAGCTAACAGGAGTCAGCAGTCGTCTGCTCCTGTACCCTCCTGTGTAACACTAGAAGGGTAAGGCTTACCCTGAGCTATGGGAAGGGAAAGCTCTCAGCCAGCTAACAGGAGTCAGCAGTCGTCTTAGTCTTCAGCATAGTGTGTTTCAGCTCTTGCTGTGTCCTTAAGGCTTCCAGTAATACAAAACGTTGACTTATTTGAGGGCACAACAATACATTTTTCGTACATTCCAAGTCAGTGTCTATAGACATCGTAGTATCTAAAGATACTCTGAGTTTTAGATGATAGCTTCTTTAACTCTCAAAACAGGTTGTTAGGCTGCCCAGTGACATCACGAGAAGGTGACGTCTAGAGCCCAGGAACCTGAGTTCGACCCCCAGTCAATTACTTTATTATATTCTCATCGTTGTGTTGTATTTTCATATATTTACACAAATAAAATCATGTAGATTTTGGGTAGAGGGCCCCATACCCAAATTTAAGTAACAAATATTTTAGAACAAACTTGGGAAATCAGACAAAGATTTGCTGGGGACTATGTTGTTTGGGCCACTAAGTTGGCTGTGCTGCTACCTGATTACTGTGTTAATGTGGGCACCCTACTGTGGGTGGTAAAGGGCCCCATACCCATCCTGTGGGTGATAGGGGATCTTATACCCATCATATGGGTGGCAGAAAGGGCCCATACCCATCCAGATGGTGGTAGA